AATCGTATCTTACTGCGGTAGACTTGGTCTCTGCCCTCTTTTGTGCCATTTCTGAACATTCATCTTTATAGCACTTATAACTTCTTACCATAATTTTATTATGAATTTTCTCTAGGGCAGGATCTTAGTCCTATTCTACATGGCCAAACAGACTAGTCTGAAGCCTAGAACATTATAAATGTCTGAGGCTTGGTGAATGAAAGAATCAATGAATGGGCTGGGCACAATGGCTCACGCCTGTAATCCTAGCATTTTGGGAGGCCGAGGTGGGTGGATCACCAGAGGTCAGGAGTTTAAGACCAGCCTGGCCATCATGCTAAAACCCCATCTTTTAAAAAAGTTTTTTAAAAAAGTAAAAAAAGAAAAAAGAATCAATGAATGAACCATGTCCAGCACTCTGCTATGAAAGGAATATGATAAAATCCATGCCCTTGAAAAGCTTACCATCTATTTTTTGGGAAAAAGATAAATATATAAAATAATAACTAAAGGTTTTATGCTAGAGATATAAAATGGATGGTTGTTATAAGGAATATACATTTTAAAAATACATGAATAGGCCTGGAGCAGTGACTCATGCCTATGGTCCCAGCATTTTGGGACACCAAGACGGGAGGATTGCTTGAGCCCAACAGTTCAAGTTTAGTCTGAGCAACACTGTAAGATTTTGTCCCTACGAAAATTAAAACTAAAAATTAAAACATATATATGAATCAGGACCTATGCATCAGAATATAAACTGTGTCACAGTATACAATTAAATAAGACCAGGCGCAGTGGCCCACACCTGTAATCCCAACACTTTGGAAAGCCAAGGCAGGCAGATCACTTGAGCCTATGAGTTTGAGACCAGCCTGGGCAATATGGTGAAACCCTGTCTCTACAGGAAAAAAAAAATAAAAAATAAAAATTAGTAGGGCATGGTGGTGCATGCCTGTAGTCCCAGCTGCTCAGGAGGCTGAGGTGGGAGGATCACTTGGGTCATGGAGGTCGAGGCTGCAGTAAGCCATGATCATGCCACTGTACTCCAGCCTGGCCAACAGAGACAGACCCTGTCTCAAATAACAACAATAAAATTAAAAAACAAATAAGAAGTATTCTCAGATATTCCTGGAAGTCCATGGCCTTCTATCACAATATTTTTCACTTAAGTTGACAGCAACAAATGACAAAAGCCAAAATTTCAGGGTTCACTAAGGAGTATATGATTCTCATTATCATGAATGCCTGGGGCATAGTAAGTGTTCAATAAACTTTTCTTTTTCTCTTTTAGTGCAATGATGCAATCTCAGCTCACTGTAACCTCTGCCTCCCTGGATCGAGTGATTCTCCTGCTTCAGACTCTGAGTAGCTGGGATAACAGGGCTGTACCACCACACTTGGCTAATTTTTTTTTCTTTGTATTTTTGGTAGAAACAGAGTTTCACCGTGTTAGCCAGGCTGGTCTGGAATGCCTGACCTCAGATAATCCGCCCACCTCAGCCTACCAAAGTACTGAGATTACAGGCGTGAGCCACCGTGCCCAGCCTCAATAAACTTTTATTGAATGCGTGATCTGATATTCCTAATCATAGAGAAAAGTTGTCTGTACCCTCTGGGGGCAGGTATATTAGGAGCTGGGGTCACTTAGAACATATCCTCCTCATAATGAAAACAGAACAAAGTCTAGGTCCTAGTCTTCTCCCTATATTTAGTACCCAGTTGCCCGAAAAGGCTGCTCTTGCCCCTTTTTGGTAAAAGGAGAAATGACCTATGTGGTTATAAATATTCCTCTGCATCTTGTCCGTATGATGATAACACATCACACCCATTCACCAGCCTCTTTCTGCGCTATCCTACCCTTGGTTCCCTGGCCACAGGTGGGGATTCACAAAGCTAAACTCACAGCTGGGACATGAGTTTTGACAACAAAGTTCAAAATATTAAGTATAAGGAGTGCTGGTTATCTGGTAAACCACTCTTTTCCGACTGCTGGGTCAGATAAAGAGAAACTGCATTAATTCAAAATCCAAGTGCTTGGATGCCTGCCAGAGGTAGGAACCTTTGTCGTCCCTCAGTCATTCACTCATTCATTCATTCCTGTGCTAAGGGTTTCGAGAGATATTGAACAGAAAAACCGCACTCCTGCTGTTAAAGAACTTTGTCCATGGCCGGGTGTGGTGGCTCACGCCTGTAGTCCCAGCACTTGGGGAGGCTGAGATGCACGGATCACCTGAAGTCAGGACTTCAAGACCAGCCTGACCAGCATGGAGAAACCTCGTCTCTACTAAAAATACAAAATTAGCCAGGTGGTGGGAGTGCGTGCCTGTAATCCCAGCTACTCAGGAGGCTGAGGCAGGAGAATTGCTTGAACCTGGGAGGCAGAGGTTTCGGTGAGCCGAGATCAAGCCATTGCACTCCAGCCTGGGCAACAAGAGCAAAACTTCGTCTCCAAAAAAAAAAACCAACAACTTCGGCCATATGGAATGTAAAGGTGCCCACAACCAGCTATTACATAAGAAAGGATAACCTCAAAAAATTTGTGTGTGGAGGCCGGGCGTGGTGGCTCATGCCTGTAATCCCAGCACTTTGGAGACTGAGGCAGGTGGATCACCAGAGGTCAGGAGTTCGAGACCACCCTGACCAACATGAAGAAACCCCATCTCTACTAAAAATACAAAATTAGCCAGGTGTGGTGGCTGGCATATGTAATCCCAGCTACTAGGGAGGCTAAGGCAGGAGAATTACTTGAACCTGGGAGGCAAAGGTTGCAGTGAACCAAGATTGTGTCATGCACTCCACCTTGGGCAACAAGAGCAAAACTCGGTCTCAAAAGAAAAAAAGAAAAAGAAAAAAAATCATTGTTAATTCTTATCACATCTTGTTAAACAGATGTCTGCCTGCCATATCACCTCCCCAGCCTCAAGGCCACTGGCATTCCTGAAGCAATTACCACATGTTCCCATCACCCAAGAATAGAGAGCTGATGGTGACAACTAACCCATGCAGAGCACTGAAGAGAGCCAGGCTCTGTCCGCCCTCTCCTACCTGGTCACCCAACTAATCCTCCTAACAGCCCTACAAGGCAGGTACTGTTATTACCTCCATTTTACAAATAAGAAAACTGGAGCACAGGCCAGGTGCGGTGGCTTACGCTTGTAATCCCACCACTTTGGGAGGCCAAGGTGGGCAAATCAGATCAGGAGTGTGTGACCAGCCTGGTCAACATGGGGAAACGCCATCTCTACTAAAAATACAAAACAATTAGCTGGGTATGGTGGTACACATCTGTAATCCCAGCTACTTGGGAAGCTGAGGCAGGAGAATCACTTGAACCAGGAAGGCTAAGGTTGTAGTTAGCCAAGATCACACCACTGCACTCTAGCCTGGAGGGTAGACCGAGTCTCTGTCTCAAAGGAAAAAAAAGGAAGAAAGAAAATTGGAGCACAGGGAAGTTAAGTGACTTGTCCAAGGTCACCCAGCCAGGATTTGGGTCCAGAATGTGAGTATCCTTAACTATTACAGCTCAATTTCCTCCCAGCTGAGAACTTATAACAAATGTATCAAGACAGACACATCTGGATGCTGCAAGGTGGTTTTTAGCAACTTTCCCCTTTAAACACATGCATCAATTTAAAACTATATTTGTATGATAAAAAATGCTTACACCTTTATTGATCTAGTTTTTTAAATGGTATGGCTTTTCCGGACATATCTTTCACAATCTTTAAAGGGAAATTTGCTTTGTTACTACGAAAAAAAAAATCAGGCCAGGCCAGTGGCTCACACCTGTAATCCCAGCACTTTGGGAGGCCCAGGCAGGTTGATCACCTGAGGTGGGGAGTTCGAGACCAGCCTGGCCAACATGGAGAAACCCTGATTCTACTAAAAATGCAAGATTAGCCAGGTGCAGTGGTGCATGCCTGTAATCCCAGCTACTTGGGAGGCTGAGGCAGGAGAATCGCTTGAACCCAGGAGTCGGAGGTTGCAGTGAGGCAAGATCGTGCCACTGAACTCCAGCCTGGGCAACAAGAGCGAAACTCTGTCTCAAGAAAGAAAGAAAAAGAAAAAGAAAAAGAGAGCCTGTCTGTTTCATGAGGTGGCAGTGGCCAGCACTGTTTAGACCAGGGCTTGCAGGCACCACTCCTTACAGGTCTGGGGCAAATTGTTTAGCCCTCTTAGTTTCTCCAGCGTTCAAGTGGATATAACAATGGTGACATCTAAAGTTGTGAGGATTCGTTGATATTATCCATATATATTGTTGTTACAGTACCTGACACAGAGCGAACGCTCAATAATGCCTTTCACTATTTAGGTCCTGGTTCTCTCATTTCCAGAGCACAAGTCCTCCGGCAACAACAGAAATGCTTTCCCCAGAGTCTCTGTCCACTCCTTAAAAACATTTGGTCCTACTTCGCACCAAGCATATTGACAGCACAAACAGGCTTCCCTGGACCCCAGCCCGGGGGTGGCATGTCACCTGGCTCAAGCCCAGGAAAGAAACCTGGCTCTGGTCTCCCTCCCGCCTGGCAGCAGCACAAAACTTAACCAGGATCTCTCACTTGTGTCAACTCTTGAATCATCGCGCCGGGTCTGGCGGGCTCCGCAGTAGACGGAATGAGGCCGCCAGCGCCAGGAAGTGGCGCTCACCCACCTCCCCAGCCCGAGGCGGGCACCCCTCCTTCACAGCATCCCTGGGGACCTGGTCCCCTCCCCGGCGGCGCGCCACCGAAGACTGACCTAACAGTGCCAACAGGGTGGATCCCCACCCCCCGCCCCAAAATCCTCTAAAATACATTGCAATGATTTCGAACAGGGAGCCGAGGGAGGCACACGATGTGCTCTCCGAGGCCAGGTGAAGCGCAGCATCCCTAGCGCACGTGTTGAACCCGGAAGCGAAGTCCGTGCAGCCTCTGCCTCCCTGCCCGGGCCTCAGAGCTCGTGCTCCGTGTCCACGTGCGCGTCGGGCCCGCAGCGGCCCCAGTGCCCCAGCGGAGCTGCATCGCGCGCGTTCCACTCACCAGGTGAAGAGTTTGCCTTTTATCCTGCGCAGCAGGCTGGAGAACTCGCCCGCCGCTCCCTCGGCGAGGGGCTCAGGGGAGCCAGGGCCCGCCGGCGACGCTGCCTCCATGGGCGCCCTTGCGCGTCTCCGGCGCCCGAGACCCGTGGCTCGGGCTCCGCGCTCCCTCCCCACCTCGTTCGCTGGCTCGCGTCCCTCTCGCTCCTCCACCAGGCTTCCCTCAGCGACCAATCATTAACTGTCAAACCCTAAGGGCCAGACAATGCATTTGCAGATTACAACCTGGCACCTCCAGGGTGGGAGGAGGAGAAAAAGCAATTTTTTTTGTCTTCTTCTCAGCCGAGCCTCATTGTCGAGTGGCACCCAATGTGCCTTTCAGGTTTTTAGGGTTCCTTGTTTGAAATCACAAGATACGGTGACACGAGGTTATTGTAGGTGACTTCCGAGCGAAGAAGCGATGAGTGAGCAGCGAGTGAGCCTGAACTCCGCAAACTGGAAGGACAGACTGACCCCGCCCCTTCCCTCCCACGCTCCCTCCCTCTGTCTGAAGGGTACTTGGTGGCTTCATTAAAACAACGAAGGGAGGCGGAGATTGCGGCGAGCCGAGATCGCGCCAGTGCACTCCCACCTGAGTAACGAGAGCGAAACTCCGTCTCAATAATAATAATAACTAAAGGCTGGTGGGGCTCTTTGGCCCACACCTGTAATCCCAACACTCTGGGAAGCGGAGGCGGGTGGATCACCCGAGGTCAGGAGTTCGAGACCAGCCCGGAAAACACGGTGAAACCCCCGTCTCCACTAAAAATACAAAAACGAGCCGGGCGTGGTGGTGGGCGCCTGTAATCCCAGCCACTCTGGAGGCTGAGGCAGGAGAATGGCTTGAACCCTGGCGGCGGAGGTTGCAGTGAGCCGGTATCGCGGCTTTGCACTCCAGTCTGTACAACAACAGAGCGAGGCGCCGCCAAAAAAAGAAACCCGAAGGAGCTTCAGGTGTCGCTTTTTCCTGCAAAAACATGGATAAGATCCTTAAAGATCTTGGAAAGGTGCCTTTGTGGCGTGGATGGAGGCGTATCCCCTTCCTCGCGGTGTGTCGGTTTTGCCTTTCCGAACTCATTTGTCCCCGCCGTGCCAGGCAGCGAGACGGTGCCAACCCCTGGCTCTCGGCCGGGAAGACCTGCTCTGGCCACGCCTTGCGAGGCTTCTGCGGACCCAAGAGGGATTAAGAGAGACTAAGATCTGGGGTCGAAAAGTTCCTGTGACTGATCCCCTGCTTCAGGAAAGGAGGAGATCCAGAAGACAAAAGGAAGGGCGTTGCGACCTTTCTTTTTCCTGGCCACCTCCTTTGGGGGTTGAGGTGGGGCAAAATAAACGTATGTTCGAATAGACAGGCTGTGCAGACAAGCTGGCAATTCTGTAAGAGGAGTCTAGAAGAAAAAAAACTTTTGAAAATGAAATATGGCTTCAGGAACCCCAAGTTTAGCAGCTGCACTGTTGCCAGGCTGGAGGGCAGTGGCACGATCTCCACTCACTACAACCTGGTCTCAACTCTGGACCTCCAAAAACCTTGAAAACTAAGAATGTGGTCATCCATAGAGGACTAATTATTATCATGCAAGCATATCATGAAACAAGAGGACATTAGAAGCACATTTAAGATCTCACTTTCGTAAAGTAAACAACTCATTAAACCCTCCCTGAGCTCCTGGAAAACCAATGAAGCGCGATGCTCACGCCTGTAATCCCAGCACTTTGAGAGGCCGAGGCGGGTGGATCACGAGGTCAGGATATCGAGACCATCCTGGCCAACATGGTGAAACCCCGTCTCTAAATAGGAAAGAAAGAAACCTCCCTAGGCCGGGTGTGGTGATTTACACCTGTAATTCCAGCACTTTGGGAGGCCAAGGCGGCGGGATCACCGGAGGTCAGGAGTACCAGACCAGTCTGGCCAATGTGGTGAAATCCCGTCTCTACTAAAAATACAAAAATTAGCTGCTCGTGGTGGTGCGCGCCTGTAATGCCAGCTACTCGGGAGGCTGAGGCAGGAGAGCCGCTTGAACCCAGAAGGCAGAGGTTGCAGTGAGGTGAGATCAGGCCACTGCACTTCAGCTTAGGCAACAGAGTAAGAGTCTGTCTCCAAAAAAGAAAAGAAAAGAAACCTCTCATCCTTTTTTTCCCCCCCCCAAAGATTTTGGTTAAATTTCTCTTCCTCTCCATACCTCTGAACTTTTACCCACTCTGAGTCTGAGCTGCAGGTAACCCCTCCTTAATAGCCCCTCCTAAAAAGCTAGCCTCAGGGTGAAACATTCTCTGATCTTATCCAATTGAGCCACCTTTTCATTCCACTTCCCACAGGTAGGGAGTAGTCCCCCTCCACCTTCAGGAACCCTTCCCACTGTCATCACCAATCTCCATTTGCAATAATCACTTCAAATAAAGTCTCTCCTTAACTAAATCAGATTTGGGTTTTTTGTGTGTGTTTGTGTGTTTTTGAGACCAAGTCTCTCTCTGTTGCCCAGGCTAGAGTGCAGTGGCGCCATCTCAACTCACTGCAAACTCCACCTCCCAGGTTCAAGCAATTCTCCTACCTCAGCCTCCTGAGTAGCTGGAATTACAAGCGCGTCAGGCTAATCTTTGTATTTCTGGTAGAGACAGGGTTTCACCATGTTGGTCAAGCTGGTCTCAAACTCTGGACCTCATGATCCAACTTCCTTGGCCTCTCAAAGCAAAGTGCTGGGATTGCAGGTGTGAAACACCGAGCCGGCCCAGATTTGTGTTTTATTTGCAATATGTATAGTAGTCACTCCTTACCTGAGGTTTTGATTTCCACAGTTTCAGCTACCACAGCCAGTCACCTTCTGAAAACAGGTGACTAGAGTGTAATAGATATTTTGAGAGCGAGACCACATTCACACAACTTTTATTACAGAATATCGTTATAATTGTTCTATTGTATTACAAGTTACTGTTAATTTCTTACTCTGCCAATTTTATAAATGAACTTTTATTATAGGTATGTATAAGAAAAAAAGTATATACTGTATAGGACTGAATTCTGTCTGCAGGTTCAGACATCTAGGAGGGGTCTTGAAGCATAAGGGGGGACTACCGTGTTTGATTATGTGAATATGAAGAAATATAAGATACACGTTAACACAAGTAACTCTAAAAGAGGGTGGGGGGCCAGGTGCAGTCGCTTATGCTTGTAATCCCAGCACTCCAGTAGACTGAGGCAGGAGGATTGTTTGAGCTCAGGAGTTTTAGACCAGCCTGGGCAACCTGGTGGGACTGTCTTTAAAAACAAACAAAAAAAAACTGAAGAGTGTCTGCAAAGATATTTTAAAAAAAAGAAAGAACGCATAAAAAAAGGGTGTTGGTGCAGAAAGCATTAAAAAAGTTTTAAATTACACTTTAAAAAAATTCCAGCACATATGAGAGAGACCCTTTTTTTTCAATGAAGTCTCACTCTGTTGCCAGGCTGGAGTGCAGTGGCACGATCTCCACTCACTACAACCTCTGACTCTCCGGTGCAAGCGAGTCTCCTGCCTCAGCCTCCCAAGCAGCTGGGATTACAGGCACATGCCATCACAGCTGGCTAATTTTTGTATTTTTAGTAGAGATGGGGTTTCACCATGTTGGCCAGGATGGTCTCAATCTCTAACCTTGTGATCTGCCTGCCTCAGCCTTCCAAAGTGCTGGAATTATAGGCATGAGCCAGCAGATAGAGTCTGCACCCAGCAGACAGTGTCCCTTTTATGTAAAATGTATGCTTTTGTATAAATACATAATACTAAAAGATGAATTTAGACATTGTGGCAAGCTGAATAATGTCCCCCAAAATTATCCAGCTCCTAATCCCTAGAACCTGTGAATGTTGCCTTGATGGCAAAATGGATTTTGCAGATGTGATTAAGTTACACATCGTGAGATGGAGAGATTAAAATGGGCCATACTCTAATCACAAGGGTCATAGGAAGGAAACAGAGGCTGAGCATGGAGGCTCACTCCTGTAATCTCAGCACTTTGGGAGGCTGAAGTGAGTGGATCCCGAGGCCAGGAGTTTGCGACCAGCCTGACCAACATGGCAAAATCCCAACTTTACTAAAAATACAAAAATTAGCCAGGCATGGTGGCACACACCTGTAATCCCAGCTACTTAGGAGGCTGAAGCAGGTGAAACGCTTGAACCTGGGAGGCAGAGGTTGCAGTGAGCTGAGATCACGCCATTGCACTCCAGCCTGGGCAACATAGCAAGATTCTGTTCCAGAAAAAAAAAGTTGGGGGGATTGGACAGAAAGGAATGTACAACAGAAGAACAGAAAGCGCTATGGCAGCGGAAGCAGAGGTTAGCGTGATCCGCTTCAAGAGCAGAGAAAGGTAACACAACCCGAGGGATACATGGAGCCACCAGAAGCTCAAAGCTCCAGAAGAACGTAGCCCCGACATCTTTAGGCTTGACCACAGGCCAGTGAAACTGCTTTCAGACTTCTGACCTCCAGAACTGTAAGAGAATAAATCCATGCCATTTTAAGCAACTAAATGGGTGGTAATTTATTACAGCGGCCATAGGAAATAAATGCAGATGTATACACACTAATGTGTAGAAACTGGGGTACACCATCAAGAGAAAAAAGCAAACTAAGATGATTGTATACTATGACTCCATTTTAATAAAAGCTACCAACTAAATATCTTTATATATACATATATTGATACATTGATAGACATATTTATGTTCGCTGTGTTCATATAAGCAAGAAAAAGGATGTGGAAGAATGCATACCAGGCTACTGATAATGTTTAAATCATGTCAGTGGTTGGGGATGGGGGCGGGGAATTATTAAGGGGGTGAGAGATTTTCATATATATCTTCATTTTGTGCTCTTACCATGAGCATATACTGCTTTTGCAATTTTAAAAATATACAATTAAGGCATTTTTCAATAGGTCACATTAATCTTAATTCAAAACATATAGGCTGGGCCAGGTGCAGGATCTCCCGCCTGTAATCCCAGCACTTTGAGAGGCCAAGGGTGGGTGGATCACCTGAGATCAGGAGTTCAAGACCAGCCTGACCAACATGGTAAAACCCATCTCTACTAAATACAAAAAAATAGCCTGGCATGGTGGCGCACATCTGTAGTCCCAGCTACTCGGGAGGTTGAGGCAGGAGAATCGCTTGAACTCAGGAGGTGGAGGTTGCAATGAGCTGGAATTACGGCTTTGCACTCCAGCCTGGGCAATAAGAACAAAACTGCATCTCAAAAAAAAAAAACCATATTAGCACTTTGGGAGGCCAAGGCAGGCAGATCACCTGAGGTCGGGAGTTCGAGACAAGCCTGACCAACATGAAGAAATCTTGTCTCTACTAAAAATACAAAATTAGCCAAGCATGGTGGTATCTGCCTGTAGTCCCAGCTACACAGGAGACTGAAGCAGGAGAATTTCTTGAACCTGGCAGGTGGAACTTGAGATGAGCCGAGATTGGCCATTGCACTCCAGCCTGGGCAACAAGG